CTCCGGGACCTCTGTGATGCTCCTGCTCAGCTGCTCCTGCTCCTGCTGTCTGTTTTGACGCGGCTGGGGAAGTCCCTTGGAACTGGGATTGACCAGGTTGAACTGGGCTGAACTGGGGGGCGAGAGTGCCATGGGACGAGGCGGCACCCCCAGGACATGTAATTTCTTCTTCTTTTCAACATCATCACTTCTCAATTTTACATCTTTGTCACAACCAATTGGCCCTGCTTTGTGGCTGCCAACTCAACCCAACCCCCAGTTTAAGATATACAATACATACTTACTTACATATGAATTCGCGGTGACACAGACGGTGACACAGACGACCTAGACTACCACCTACTATCACTCGGGTCACCGGTCTGCAACCAACCGCCTGCTAATCTCCCTCCAAGCCTCTAAAAGGGAGGACACGAGAAAAGCCCCGAACGACAACCAAAGGTGAGACTAATTTAAGAGATCTCTTCGTATACGAACCTTGTCCCCGTGAATCCTCAACTGATACATCTAATTAGCTCAGGCCTGTCTTTCATGGATGCAGGTGCATCGTTGCGCAAAAGCGTATAAGCCCATCCCGTGTTCCGTGTCAGATGTTGAGCTGGCCCGGCATGGCTCAAGTTCTTGGCCTCGATCCTGAGGCCTCTGTCACGTCGGGCAGTGGCGCTTCCTGTCCTCGCACAACAATCCCCCCAGCTCTCACTTCTTCTGTGTCTGTTTCTCATGTCCCTCAAACAAATCGTTATTCGTATCTGCAAAGGCCAGGCTCTCAAACCCCAGCTCAAGCACGTACCCGGCCAAGAGCAAAATCTGCATCAAATTTGCTCGGTGGCCCTGGAAAGGACAAGGACTTGCGTTTTCACGACGACACCTTCATCGATCAGCAGCAGGAGGGGGACGGGGAACCGCATGATGGCCTTGCAGAGCTCATTGACTTTCTGAGGAATCACAGCCCTCCTTCAGGTAACTTCATGTCTATCCCTGATGGAATTTCCCCAGAGGACAGGGGGCGATGGTACAGGCTCCGAAAGCTGGGCAAGAGGAGTAAATCACTCTCCAAGTCGCCTCAGACCATTCGGCTTCCAGACTCAGCTGTCTCAGGCACAACGATAGGAGGACATCGACATATTGCAATTTCAATTCCCTTGGACGCCTCGCCATTTGGTCAAACTCCCAGGTCTCAGTATCCTATTTACCAGCACCGGAGCGTGAGGCCTCTCACTTCCCAGTATGCTCCTACTAGGGCAGTCTTGAACGACAAAGGCGTCGTGACGGTGTTACGGACTGTCGCCGAGGACAGAGAATCATCGCCTTCGGTGAGCCCAGCAAACTCTCAGCTTCTTTTATCTACTACCCCTCAAAGATCTCCAAACTCATCGATCAATGGACACTCTCCTCCGGCCCCTATCAATAGCAGTAACCAAAGCATGGCACCGGAACATTTGAACATTTTGACAACGCCTCCTCCGAGGGTAGTGACCCCGGACCAAGTCAGGAAAGCTAATGAGCAGGGCCGAGGATTTCAAAGCAATGACCAGGGGAACACATATGCTGGAAGCCCAAACAACCAAGATAGAATCCCTTCACGGAGTCCCAGCTTGACAGGGGGTCACTTCGTACACCTCGGCGACCTGTCTATCGATACTATGATGTCTCAGTCAACCAATACAGAAGTCCATCAGGCTCCTACTTCACCTGCCCGCCCCGTTTCCCAGGATGGATCTTACCAACCTTCGCTTTCCAAAAGCATAATGACCACGAGCGAGACTGATCCTGTTGTTGCAGAGGCTAGGTCGATCGAGGAAATGCCAGTATCAGCCAGGGAATCGCGCATTCGATTATCCACGAAGAAAACCGAAGAGCCTTCTGTCACTGTGATCACCAAAAGCCCACTACGTGTCCAACGTCAAGGTTCTAAGAAACAGACAACAAAGGAGAGATCCTCAACACCTGAAGCCAAATTATCACAGAGTCGCCGTGACAAGGTCAGGGACAAGAAAAAGAAGGATATGGAAGCTGCTTCTTTGAAACGTCGCAGTATGATATCTATTTCGATGGACCTGCAGCCCGATTCTGAGCAGGAGACTATCAAAGAGTCGCCTCAAGAAAAGGCAGAAGAGCCACCACCATTGCCACTCAGGTCTCCCCAACGCCAAAGCATGTGCCCCATCATAGTCGTCGCCAATGTCAAGCCATCGCCTCCCCCATCAGCGGTTATCCCAGCGTCCCCAAAGAGACAAACGACCACAAACCCAGAGGACTTGACCTCTGCTATGAAGTCAAAGCCGGACGAGGCGGCACCTAAGCAAGAAGACGACACGTCCAGTCGAGCAATTTCTCCATCTCTACCCTCATATCAGAACGGGTCGCCGACGCCTCCCCAATCCGCTCAGTCATCACCAACTCATAAAGTGGACTCATATGATAGAATATCCCTTTCGCGACGTCGGGAGTGGAGTGCTGCTCGAGAGCAAGAACGTAAACGAAAAGAAGCGGCCTTGAACGCCAGTCCCCGATCGAGGGTAAGGAGGGCCGTCACCATGAGAGAAGACAACGGGGCCAAAGCGCCCACGGTAGAAAAGGAGGTTTTGCGAAGATATGAGGCATACCGCGAGTACCGCATCAGAGAGATGGAGCGCAGAATCAGGAGATTGGAGCGCAATGGAGATGTCTGGCTTCGTGCCCTGGTCCCAGTATTGGATAGTCTCAACCGCACGCTCGCTAATTCTCAAGACGGGCACCCAGGCGGGGCGAAGGGGTGGATCTCTGATGATGATCGTTCGAACTTTCAAACAACGTCTAAAATGAAACCATCGAGCCGAGGACGTATGATGGCAAGGACAGGGACATCAGAGCGGGAGTTTCTGGAGCAGCTTGTACGGACTAAAGAGGAGCTTGAGGCTGGAAGTGTTGGCGATGACATGAGCGGCTTTGATACGATTGAGCCTCTGATGAGAGAACTGGCTGGTCGATCTCGACTAAGCTTTGAAGCAAGATCACTCGGAGTGGATGATGAGGGATTGCTACATTCTCTTTCCGAGTAGTGAGTGGTCTGCTAGGCGACGTATATAATCCAAGTGTAGGAGACGAAGCCGGGAAGGTTGATTTGTTTTTAGGAGCGTTGCAGGAATGGCTGGTTGGTTTGTGTGCAGGATGAGCGAAGCATTGGATTTTGGATACGTTCACTGATCAACAACGTTACTATAGTATAGTCTTGCACCCGACGTGTATTTTCCTAGCTAACATCTATCACGATAAGTCTAGAGTATTTCCTAGTATGTATCGTATCTACCCAAAAAATGGCTAGTGCCTTGTTTAGTTTTGTAGAATTAATAATTGGTAACGCACTTGACGATAGTCCAAGGTTATCACTAAGCCATTGGGTAGAGAAAATAGACAGACGCATCAAGCTAGCCCTACAATATTCTATCCTCATCTTGAGATTATGTTGACTTGCAGTTAAACACTAACGTAAGCCATCCTCCTGGTATCTATCTAATACTAGCCGTTACACTTTAGTCTACACGACAAGAAACACAGAATCTAGTTTCAATCCCATCACCACTTCTGTTTATACCTAGGTATGCACCTTACCTAGTTGGGTAACGAGCTTGTGCACTTGGATCGGGCCAGCTCAGGGGGAGCGAGATCTTATGACGTAGGTGATACCTCACACGAACATGCATCTACGCATCATCAAAGACACGAGATGCCATGATTGCCAATGGAAGGGAAGGGAGAAAGAAAAGTGACCAAGGTACCAACCATCTGCACGGCCGTTTGAGGTGTGAACTAGATTTTTCAACCAATAACACCAATTTAGAACTCTGCCGTACTTTACAAGTACCTATCCTCTTCACAATACCCAATTTGTTCAATCAACTTGACTTACATTAGATAGATAGCTCTAGGATATCCGACACAGGTGAATCAAGCATGAGCAAGCCCTGGATCTTTGTATGCCCTTCCACCCGAGGAATTGGATATGCTCTCACTCGACACCTCCTCCAGAAGACATCCTTGCCTATTCTGGCAACAGCTCGACTCCAACATGACCCAGAAACCGTGAAGAAATCACTTCTAGAAGGTCTCCCCGATAAACAAGGTCTCACCAAACGCCTGTCAATAGTTCACGCAGATGTCACAGACGAGGGGTCTCTCATTGATGCAGCTTCCAGAGCTGCCGAGCTGTTTCCCCCTGACAAGTATCATCTGCGGCTTGCGTGCGCGGTTCCTGGAGTCCTCAAACCCGAGAAGAATGTCAACCAGATAGACGCAGAGGCTAGTTTGTGGCAGTTCCGCATCAATACCATGGGCCCTCTCCTCCTCATCAAACACTTCGATAAGTTTCTCCCTAGGCGGAGCTCTGAGCTCCAAGACAGCCCCAACGGCGACGAGGTAAAGATGCTTCCCTATTCGGTGTGGCTCAGTATGGCAGCTCGGGTTGGTTCTACATCAGACAATAGAGCCGGGGGATGGTTCTCATACCGGGCGAGCAAGGCGGGAGTTATCAGCCTGGGCAAGAGTTACGACATATTTCTCCGTGGGCGGAGTGGTGATAAGGCCATCTCCATTGCCTACCACCCTGGCACGGTCAAGACAGACCTGAGCAAGAATTTCTGGGAGAGTACAAAGGAGGGTAAACTATTCAGCCCTGAATTCGCTGTCGACAGACTTGTAAAAGTCGCAGCAGGTATCCCCCTGGAAGGGCGAGGCAAGTGTATGGACTGGAACAACAAGGAGATCTTCCCATAAAGTAAGACGCGGAAACTACAGGGTCATACCATCAAGAGAGTTGGAAAGAAAGATAATGCAGCTTGGGGTTGTTTGTGCGGAAAATAAGTATTAAACCAGTATCTGCTTTGCCCTTTCACCAAGATCTTGCCAGCCAACATATCCATATGGGACCGTACCAGACAGCGACCGCTGTCCACTCACTGTCTAATCATGCTATCTTTTCAAACAAAGTCAAGCTCAACCATATAACTACAATATCTCTTGGTCTATAGCTCCACTTCCTGGAAGGATGCTCCATCTGGTGTAGGTGCGGTCTTCGCGTTTGACTCATCCTCTGCGTCGCCATCTGACGCTTCTTGCTTATCATCGCGTTCGGGTTTACTTGATTCACCATTATTGGCGGGTCGTAGGGCAACCTTCTGCTCCTCTTTGTCCTCGAATCGCACCTTTTGTTCCTCTTGTGGCGACGTCTTCGTCTTTTGCTCAATCTCGACTTCTTCTTCTTCTCCGCTTTCAGTGCTACTACCGCTGGAGCTCTGCTTTCCGCCGTTCCTTTGCACGTCCTCTTCCTCCTTCTCCTTGGCCTTCTCGTCTAGCTTTTCATCTGATGAAGATGCCTGCTCACCGTTGTGAGCAGGGGGCACGGGTAGGCTCTTCTCCCCCTTCTCTGGAGGAGGTGGAGGTGAAGCTTCCTCGGCTGGGGGGCCTGGCTTCATCGCATCAAGATAGAATTTGGTAACACCTAGGATGCGGCCACCCTTTTCGCAAGCCTCAACCCATTCGGGCCGTACGACAGGAATGTTGCTCTCGACAGCTTTCTCCCATTGCTGCCCACGTCCCTCAGTGGTCACAAAATGCGTCGTGTCAATGCGGACGCCATCAACAATCTTGGCCCCGATGCGCTCAACCGCATTTGTCAAGCTGTCCCTGACGGCACTAGGCAGAATACCGGTAGTAATCGTAATACCTCTTAGGTCCGTCATTTTGTGTGTCCTCACGGAGACGCGCTCACTGATGAAGGTGCCGGCGCTTGTGCGCAGGACCAGGTGGAAGGTATACTCTGTATCAACAGCGAGGCCGCTAATCTTTGTGCTGTGCATCTGTAATGGGCGAGGGATATTCCCAGCTTTCTGGCCATTTCGGTAGAGACTCAAAGAAATAAGGTCGGCGGTGGCAAGCTGAATAGGATCCCACTCAAGAACGACCGAGGTTTGGGTGGCATTGCGGCACCGCAGCACTGGGGTTGTAGGCTCGGAGGCGCCAAATGAGTTGTAGATGCTCTCTTGGAGGGTACGGAATGCGCGATCGGCAGCAGCTTCTTTGGTCGCGTTCTGCGAAACGTTGATGTCGACGATGCTGCCTGACGAGATGTTGGGAGGGAGGAGGATAGATGGGAATTCGATCTAAGGACACTCTCTGCATTAGCAATTATCACAAAGAGAGGAAATGCTTCAACCTCACCAAGCGCTTGTCCGGTGTCAGAAGAACAGTAACGCCGGCGTCGACCTTGCCGACAGTGAGAGAGACGAGCATTGTTGCGAGTGTCGCAGCAAACAGCAGCAAACAAAGGGTGATGATGACGCCGAGGGTAGTCTCTAGGCTATCACGCGAGCGGAATAGAGAAAGCGAAACAAGGGTATCTTTGAAAAGGAGAATCTCTGGACGGCGCTGACCAAATCGCCTATCTGTAAGGTAGTTGAAGCGAGAAAGGTTGCTGTTAATTGCGAATGCGATAGGGATGGAACGTAGACGTGGAATCTTTGGTTGGGACAGGCTGCATGAGCAAGGACACGCACGCCAGCCACTAAAGACAAAGAGCTCCAATTCAGCCTGCAGTAGCAAATTTGAGCAAGACTCCCCGGAGCTTAGGCCCTGGGCCCCTGTGAGGCCCTCCGACCTCAGGGCACCTCACTCGGTACAAAGTGGGGACTCGGGAGCTAGCTTAGGGGACGAAGCTTACATCTCCCACTGGTGGATGTTGGTTACATACATGGACGTTATCCTTTCATCTAGTTACCTAGGTACTAACCTACCTATGTCTCATCTTACTAAGACTAACTACCTTACTTATTAACGAATGCTCGACTTGACACGGCTGAATAGATTAATATACAGTTCATTGGTGAAAACACTAGGATCAAAGCATCCAGTAAACACATGAGTTGCTAGCCCACGCAAATCTGATCCTCTTCTCGGGTCTGTCTACCACTAGGTTGGCTCCATACAGACAAAGGATTCCGTAAATTCCATAACCAAAACCCTATTAGTGATACTCGCTCATATCCCTTCTAAGCATACCACCAATTTCCGAAACACCGGTTTTTCGCAGAAGGCAGGCCGTGCCAATATATCCAGCCTTGGCTCTCAAGTATGCGCAGTTATTCACGTCTCTTTTGTAGCCTGTTGGTTTTCCCAGGTTTGCTTCACTTGCTTCGCAACAGCCTCGCCGAAAATATGAGCTGGGGCTTGGGCGACTTTCAAAGGATCGTAGATCGTCACCATAAGCGTTCCTCGCGGACCATTCATTGAATATCCGAGATCTTTTAAGGCTCTCCAGAATGCGCCTGTCAGCCTTTTGACCATCAGGTTTCGCACCACAGCACTGCCCCCTCCCCTGCATATTGTGTATGTCCAGAGAGGCTCCTCTGCCAGTTTGCGTCGGTAACTGCTCATGATTATGGGTAACATTGGTGCTATTCCAGGCCTTAAATGTTGCAGATGGTACGGGTGCATGATATATCGAGGCGAGTATTGAACGAGGCAGTTGAATAATACTTTCACTTTTTGTTCGTCAGGCCCGAGGTGCAGACGTGTAGCCTTAGAGTTGTCGTACTCGATGCCTGTTTCTTGGAGAAATGACCAGACTTCTGGTGTGGTGAGTAGTTTTCCAGATGGTAATATATGGTCGTTTGCTGGTGGGATGAAGATCCGGGGTGATTGAGACCGTCCTTTCGTTCCATGTCGCTTCGGTGATTGTCCCGGTCTGTTGGGAGTTTTTGAAGGGCGGTCTTTAGTATCTTGGCGCAATATTTGTGTGGTTGATGAGTAAAGTCGGTAGTTGGAGGAAGGTATCGATCGCAGGAGTTTGATTCCTGGCAAGACTTGTGCCGTTGTCATGATGGAGGATTTGAACGGGATACTATCATGTTGAGATGAGATGTGATGTGATGTTTTCTTCGGAGATGAGACTTGCAGTGGGTGCCTCAGTGCCCTTCAATCGCTGCCTAGTTGCGAGGGAGTGCGCTAGGGAAGTTGGAATTAAACATGATGAACCGCGATGCGCAAATCGATTTCATGAGCTGACGATTTCCCAATGCTCAACTAGGAACGCCACATGAATGTGGCTGTGTCGCTAACCAATCTGCGTCATATTATTTGGAATAGGTACTTGACTTTGGGTATAATGCTCTCTTCTTAGGATAATCTCTGGATTTGACAGAGAATTAATTAACTCTAGGTATGTATGATTACACCAATTCGCTTTAAGGGTTAAGTTCAACGTATTGCATTGAAAATATCTTTGCTGCGCCACGCTTGAGTCACTACCTAACCTACCAGGTGTGGAGGACAGAATCACAAGCTGGTCACCCCATTTGTCTTGCGCCCAACCAGCTTTTGCCTCTTGTGTCAGTCAGCAGCGCAGCCCAGGAAAAATCCACTTTCTTTCCCAAGCCAACAACGACACCACAACATCATCACCAACTTTCTTCTTCCCACCAACACATCCCTTCCTCACTTCACACATACCGACAAACCGCCAATATGCCTAAGAACAAGGGAAAGGTAAGTCCCACAGATCCCTTCTACACTCGACTGTTTTCCTTTTTCATTCACGGATCGCATTTTCACGCGTCAACCGCCTGCCCCGCCCCCACCATCATTCGCCCAAGTTATTCTGCAAGCAACAAAGCAACTGTCTCTAACAGCTGGACAGGGTGGAAAGAACCGCAGACGTGGTACCAAGGAGAATGATGACCAGCGCCGAGAGCTCACCTTCAAGGAGGATGGCCAAGAGTATGCCCAGGTCGTGAAGATGCTTGGTAACGGTCGTCTCGAGGCTCTGTGCTTCGATGGAAGCAAGCGCCTCGCCAACGTAAGTAGCACCAAGTTTGCCTGCCTAAGACGCAGTGCAACGAAAAGCAGGACGCTCATGTCCCCCCTTCTACGACTCATGCTAACATCTCCTTCGTAGATTCGCGGTAAAATGCGAAAGAAGGTCTGGATTAACCAGGGTGATATTATCCTCCTCTCTCTCCGTGACTTCCAGGACAACAAGGGCGACGTCATTCTCAAGTACACCGCCGACGAAGCCCGTACCCTCAAGTCGTACGGCGAGCTCCCTGAGAACGCCAAGATCAACGAAACCGACTCTTTCGGCCAGGGAGAGGACGGCGAGGCCTACTTCGAGTTCGGCGACGCTGATTCAGACGATGAGTCTGACGAGGGCGCCGCTGGCAACAAGAAGGAGGTCGACATTGACGACATTTAAGCTCGCCAAAGCCCTCCGAATCCCCTTCTCTCTCTCCACCGAGCCCCCGACGCTACCGAGTGATACGATTGTATTTCGCGGCTGGTGTTGTTGATATTGTCTTCCCTCTCAAACCCGGAGCCGAGCGCCCAAAGCTCTGTGCGTCGGGTCCCACGACAGTAGTTGCTGTGGAGTCGTAGACGGCCGTGGTGGGAGGGACGCCACGGCATGTCGTTCTCTTTTGGACTTCCAGTATCACGATCAAATTTTCTGTCTTGTTCCGTTTTTAGGTAGTTTTTACTGGACGAACATGTTTTTTTCTTAACGCTTTATGATCATCACATTCGTCTTAAAAGCACAGGTTAGACAAGACAAGAAAATGCTCACTATTATTTTACAAATATTCTTTGATCCTCGCATTGCATTAATGTCGTGAACAATAAAGGCAACGAGCGCACTGACTGTTGTAGAGTTAGTGGGCTAGTCATTCTGTAATTTTGTAGAATTTCGTTAATGCTATGGGTGTCTATAGAACATAACCAACTTTTGTCATGCCAACTGGAAGTGCTACAGACACAGTAGAACCATTTGGTAATACAGACCCAACCTCAAATGCTTGTGCTGATCTGCAACCAAGATACCTCTGCAACTGGTTGATTCACCACAATCCTCGTCGTTACCCATAAGTGCAAATTTTATAAAAGACAAGTCGATCATCATTTGTCGACTATATCTACCACACTCTCTCTTCCTTCTCTTGGATTTTGTGTTGATGTAGTTCAGCTCACCAGTCATCGTTATCACTCTCGTCATCTTGTTTTGTGTTAGCACATCACTCTTCACCAGCAAAGGCATGCTGAACTTACCACTCTTGGAGACCTTTTCTTTTCTCTTCTGGAGAGCAGCAGCCAGGGCATCGGCCATGCCACCGCCGCCGCCAGGCGCACCAGCTGCTGCAGGTGCGGCATTCGCACCGCCGGAATCGCCGCCACTGCCAACTTGAACACCACTGCGGTCGCGAATCTGTGAGCGATCGACCTTCTTGAGAGAGTTGATCCCGCCGGCACGTTGAATGCCTTCCAGCATCGCTGATCGGCCAGTATCCCCCCCTGCAGCAACAGGAGGGAGAGGAGGCGGAGGAGGCGCACCAGTTCCAGGCGGCATGGGAGGCGGAGGAGGCGGCGGTGCACCAAGGCCTCCTGGAGGTGGAGGGGGCGGAGGAGGTGGAGGAGGTGCACCATTTGTTGATGTCGGTGGTAGTGGAGGAGGTGGAGGAGCACTTGTCACCGGTAAGGGAGGTGGAGCAGGAGGGTGATTGTTGGCTGCTGGAGGAGGAGGAACAGGCCGGGAGCTTGGAGGCGGCAGTGGTGGAGCTGAAGAAGCTGGTACTTTGGGAGGCAGAGGAGGGGGAAGAGCTGCAGGCACAGGGTGGTTATCGGCCGGTCGGGGTGGAGGAGGAGGAGGAACAGGCCCACGGCTAGGTGTTGGTGGGGGTACTCTTGAACCAGGAAAGGGAGGAGGAACTCCGAACCTGTGACTCTCATTCTTCTGTGTTTCTATAGGAGTCTTGGCTGGTCGCGGAGGAGGGGGAGGTCCAGGAGTGGGTGTTGCTGGAACGGCCCTTGGAGGATCTTGACGTGCGAATTTGCCAGCGTCAGCCAATGGAGGAGGGACACCAAACTTGGGTCGAGGAGGTGACGGCGCTCGTTCAGGCGCAGCATCCTTCGCCGGAGATTCGGCTTTGCCCGACCGTCTCGGGGCTGGAGGAGGTGGGGGGCCGCCTTTTCTCGGAGCCGGGGGAGCTGGAGGACCGTCTGACTGAGGTCGACCGCCGGGCGGTGGTGGCGGCGGAGGCGCTCGAGAGCCTCTTCCCTCATTGCCGTTCGCGGTTGGCGTTGGCGAGGGTGCTTTCGCTGCTGAAGGGAGAGGTGGTGGCGGTGTCGAATGAGGCTGATTGGCCTTCTGCTGTTCTTCTCTCAAGAAGTCGACAATAAACTCTTGGTTTTCTTTGATGAAGTCGTCTGTCAAACCCTTGTCTTGAAGATCTGCACCAAAGTGCTCACGC